CATTTGCCCCAGTAAGCAAAGGGCAGTGGAAACTTCCCCCGTGTGTCCGGCGCCCCTGTGTTCAATGATGATAAGGTATAGTGTGGAGAGATACTAGAGAGGTTAGATACCCCGGTTTCGGTATACGGGTACGGGTTGCCATATTTTATTCGTTGGAATTTCTTGTTGTTTGCACGTTTCGTCATAAAAATCATGCTTGCTTCAAGAGGCTGAAGTCTACTGGAATTGAATTGTCCAGGTAATCTTCGAAAAATTTGAGAAACAAGGATGGAAATTCAGTGAACAAAATAAGGCTACCCGTACCCGTATAGCAGAACCGGGGTATCTTAACCTCTCTATAGTTTACTTACTGTCGGCTGCGAGGGAGTATTTTGTTGTGAAACTGAGGAGAATTGCAGCTGCCAGTGTCAAAAACATGTTTATTGAATTGCACTAAAATATATAAAATACAACTGAAACGTTGAATTCTAGGGTACGTTGGTATTGAATTAAGGACATGGGTAGTTTATACAACAACAAACTTTCTATGATTACCATAATTTTGAACCAAGAATACTACTGTATTTGTACCAGGAATACTCCTAAACATTGTGTCTCGTATATCGCATAATACATTTTAAAACGAGGTAAGAGACACGTTTTTGAAAGTCAACTATAAAAGGCCATTTAGACTACACGATAAGTTGTATGCAATTATGAATGCAACGAATGCAAAAGAGGGCCTATGCCACATCTTCATTTATATTGTTCAGGTTGGAATTTAAAGTGTCATGTTTGTACGTGTGTTCATACGTTCACATACGCCAGGATAAGAATCGTATACGACAAATCGCATAGTGTAAATAGGCCTTAAGCTTACATTGCAGCAAAAACACTATTTACTAAAGATGAAAATAGCTTGATTTCGATCAAATCTCCTAGCATTTCCTATGTATGTATTATAGACTTATTGCAATGTGTATTGATCTTTCTCGTAACAATTACTTTCGCGGTACATGAATTTTTGCAAAGGTTCGTTTCGGTGAACGGTTCGTAACGATTTGTGATGTAGCTCGGCATTCAGCTGAGACACATATCTTACCTTGAACCAACTGAAATGCAAATTCACTTTTCAGACCATCAGATGTTGAGATCCGCGTATATGAAACCTTAATCACACGCGGTTTTAGCAAAGAAACACCAAGGGATAATAATGGTCGACTTCCTTGTTCGACTGCTTTTAATAAGACTGGTTTGGAGCGGAGAGGCTTCTTGCCGTTTGTTGTCGCAAACGTTTTTCCTTCGTTTTGAGAATAACAGGTGAATCTCGTCTGAGTATATGGCGTCTATGTGACTTACCGCGCTTAACTTTTTAAGTACCTGACTTAATGCGTGCGTGGACGGCTCTCGAAGTGAACAATGACAGCTGTTTCGTGTTTTGCGATTCAATTTTTACGCCACGTTATGAATCTCAACAAGCAGCACGTTTATCGTGCCAGCGGCATCGATTGTAAGAACCGAGGAAAAGTAAACTAGCTGTTTGTATAATTTAAATTTCAATGTATAGTTTATTTCATATTTTTTAACATTCGGCAAAGTGGTTGAAGATCCCAATTTTTTTAATGCCATCCTGTCTAATTTTCTAATCTTCTTGCTAATCTTTAAAATACCGCTAGGGCGCTAATCCCACATTTATTTAGGAGCTGTTTACATTTTACCGGTTATTCCCTAGTTTCAACGAAGTATATAATGATTTTAAAGGAATTGAAATAAGTTTTTGCGGTACCATGGATGACAATTAATATGTTAAATAATATAATCATCTTATAGCTATTTTTAGGATGACGAATCATCTTCTAGCTATATTCATTTTAATACCATATAAAATATCGTTTAAATCGCCGTGAAAATTTCGAGAGATTTGTTTACGTTTGTGTAAATGTATTTGCTACAACATATTTGTTTTTCGAGGAATGACCTTTGTGATTATACTAAAACGATTCGCTTAAAGCTTGGTGAATGTTGTTGAAGACTTTGTTTCGCCTTCGTCTTGGAATCATTGTTAATTGTTTATGCTTTTATAATAAGAAGTTCTCGCGTGGTTTTTAGGAAAGAAACGACGGCATTGGGGCTTAGTAACCAGAACATGAGATTCTTAACCGAATTTCAGTCCAATTCCAAATTAAAAAGACGCTGATGGCGTCAGCAGCCGAAATATCGAGAATATCCGACGCGTTTCGACCAATCAGGAACGAGAATAGGCTAACAAAATAAAATAACAAAAAATAAGTACATCTGCTCTCCCGCAAGTTTATTTTTTAAAATCTACAGAGTTTCGAATTTACAGGATAAACTATTTACATTATAGCTGATGGGCTATCTCTGTCTGACCATAAAGCTAAGAAATACATGTTAACAATTCCATTTCGCAGTTCTGAACACCACTGAAAATGTCAGAATATTGTGCATCATATAGAAAAATTGTCTGAATTTTGTATTTATGTTTGCTACATTTTCTGCTAGATTTAAAATTATTTGCTCACAATAATTTCAACTTCAAACTATTGGCATACAATAAAGATCTTTTACACCATGCAAGGAGCCAAGGACTTTTAGCAAATGCACAAGCAACAGCATCGTCGCCATCTTGACTAAATCCCACGCAAGCCTTTCCATAACACGTCACGAATAGGTTTTTGTCACTGATATAGACTAAGACTAGACTGAAGCACGCATCTGCTATGAAATTATGAATATAAGTCGAAGGGGCCATGTTGAATAGAGGCCTACTTAGTGAATCTAATTTGATGTTGTTGTGCATGGGTATGTCTATACAAAGTTTTTTTTACCTTTTTAGTTGTCGCGGATAAAAAATGTTTTAAAGATAGTAATTCATCAATTCAAGCTACCCAGCAATTTTAAACATTCGAAAACTAATTTTTTTAACTGTACTTTACCAAATATGGTGTCTTATAGGAGAATATATTCGCCTTACAGCCTATATATATATACCTAATTTAAGAACGAAGACTAAGAGGTTTGACTTTAGTCCGGCAGAATTTGAGACGTAAATAAATCCTTCTTAGTAGAAAATATTTTGGCTTCGAGATGGACTCATTGGAATACAGTAGGATTCTATATCCAGCCTTGGTAAATATCAGTGGTTTTTCTTCAAATCAATGTTTGAAGTTATTACGTTGTTCACGCCACAGAATAACAGCGCTACAGCTAAGCCAAACATTGCGATCAGTTAAAGACTGCACTTGGGAAAAAATAGCAAGAACTGCCTCAAGTTTGCAAGAAAACCTCTCGAGGTTTCGATCTAAATGTCCTCATAACTCTCCCGACGAAGACTCTGTCTATGACGCACTCGAAGTTTTTTTTTAACTGAGGCAGTTCCTAAACCACATTTGATGGGATCTTTCGTCTGACCTCGTACTATAATAATTTCGCTATGCCAATGAATTATGTGCAGATGTGCGAAGTCCAAGTGTGCAGTTATTTATATACAATATTTCCTCTAAACATCAGTTGTTATTTCGTTTGTAGATGTCTGATGAATGAACGTTTCTCGTCCGTCCTCGCTTTTCATCCCCCGTAACTGAACATCGTATTTGTTGGTCATGCTCAACTCGCTTCCCGAGAGACTATTTTTACCCTCATCTCTTCGATTGACGGCTCCTTTTTCCATTTCACTGTCACTGACGTCACTTCGACTGATGTCACTCCCACCGACGTCACTTCCGCCAACGTAACTTTCTCTGACGTCACGTTCACCGACGTCACTTCCGTTTATGACATGCGTTTTCTCTCTCTCTTCATCCTTGGGGTGACTCCCCTTTCTCAAGTAACTTCTAGTGATGTAACCATCGCTCGCGACGTCACTTTCTCTCGTGACGTCGCTTTCGCTGTCGCGAGGTTCACGACTACCGCTGACGACATTTGCCTGGACGTTGCGCAAGAGCTCGACGGTTTCAACATCTCTGGACATCTCCCTTTCGTCGGCAGAACTTTGGACGTCTTCTCCAGGCCCTGCGCGGGTGATAAGCCCGGGGTAAGGAGGGAGGTCTTCGTTCTCCGGTATTTCGACGTAGTAGTCTTTCTTGCGTTTTGAGATTCCAGTAAGGGGGTACTTTTCAGGCGAGGCCATCACTGAAATGCATTGAAAATTAAATTAATACACAGGCTGTATTTAAAATTTAATATAACTTCAGGCAGGTCTGTTTAAAGCATATTATACGGCGCATAACAATGCAATTTTTAAACAACAAGTGGTTCACACTTGTCCTAAGAATCGGGGATCCATTGCATTATTTTCCGACAGACATTTGAAGGATTTTGCGACCAGTGACGACCTAAGACGAAGGGGATCCCAGGTTCTTTCGACACGTGTGAACCGCGTGTATTAGCCAATAAGAACGTCCAGTCAATTCCCAAGGGTGGAGGATTGCAAATTCCATTGCGATAACTTTTATTCGCAGATCATTCCGCGGTTCAATTCTTGTTGCACGACTTAAGAATGGTGAGAAATGAAGACCAAGAATAATTTCACATTGATAATCTGATATGTACTATGTACTTTTCTTACCATCACCGTAGGAGGGTGGCCCGTCTTCTTGTACGACATCGGGTGCGTATAATGATTGTATATCGTTATGTCTTCTGAAAAAGTATAGCAATGTCAGCCTTCTGGAATGACAGATCGCCAGGAAGGTCAAAGCAAGAAAGACTAAGCCACAGGCTGTCCCAATAACCACTCCTGTCACTTTCTGGGTCATGTTCGTCACTGAAATAAAATAAAATAACAATAAGGTTGGTCTATCCATAGGCGGCCCAAAATTAGCGGCCGAAAAATTTTTCGGCCGCCAATTTTGGGCCGCCTATGGTCTATCTTCAGTACATTTAATTTCGTATTGCAAAAACTAAGGGCGCTTTATAAAGGAAAGCGCCTTAAGCATCGGGGCCTGATTCCTCACTCTTCACACTTCACTTAAGCTTTGTAAATTCGTTTTAACACGTACAATGTTTGAACAAAATATGTAAAACAAATGTCGAACAATTCAAAATAAAGACTTTCCCGCCAAAACCGAGCAGTATGTATCTCATCAGGAAGACAGGAACCAATCAAAATGCTCTATTTTGTTTGATTTTGCACTTGGGCCGGCTGAGAAAACACAATATCGTAAAAGAAGTATACTTCATTAAGACCACACTAGATATAATATTATTACCAATAGGTGTCTGATAGACGCTATAGGACGCATTGAATCCTTTGTTATTTCCATTCACTCCGTCGCTGACGAACTTTACTTTAAGTTTATTATTTTTTGCGATGATCGCTTTGTTTATAAATCCATTACCATCACCACAGATTTTATAAAGTCGCGATGACCAAGACGTGAATCCGTCGTAGATCTCGATATTATCCTCACAAGAGCTCGTCTTTCCGTTTTTCTGAAGATCTATCCGTCTAAAACAAGAAAACTAAGATACAAATTACCATTTAAGAGACAAAACACAAGAAAAAAATAAAATAAAAATGATTTATTTATATCGGTTACGATAGCTGTGTTAGAATGTTTTTAAATGAATCATTTGTCAGGAAGCCAGAAGGAAGCCATTTATGTGACACAGAGCATTCTCGATTTTGCTTTCGAGTTCAAGGACTTGCTTCGTAAAAAGATCAACATCTTTCTCATATGAAATCTGTTCCTGAGTCGGGAGACTTACACATCTCTTTAACCAACCTGAAAATCAGTTCAACTCTTTGATTTTCTCGGAGTTCTATATTGTATGTATATTCGCGGTTATTCGGGTAGCTGCCAGGATAGTTCGGTGATTGTATACTACCACTTTCACCCCTTTTACGAAACGTTTTCTTTTGCACTAGAAGAAACAGCAAAATACCATCATTTTCTTCGCTAAGAGGCAATGAAAACGTTATTTGACTTGTCCATTTCGGAAGATGATGGTCAACACAAACGAAGTATAAATAGTATAGCGTAGTCGTTACCTGTTGGGCGGGCCGGGCCATCTCGGATAAAACTTATTCTGTGTAATGATTTATCTATAAGAGAAAACATACTCCGAAAATAAACATCTTGTAAACCCAAGATATGAGTTGTTAAACAACAAGACACAATATTCAAGGTGATATTTCGACTCTATTTCAAAGTCAATGACAATGACTTTGAAATAGAGTCGAAATATCACCTTGAATATTGTGTCTTGTTTTTTAACAACTCATATCTTGGGTTTACAAGATGTTTATTTTCGGAGTATGTTTTCTTTTATATTTCGCAAAACTGTCTGCTGGAAAAGGTTTTTATGATTTATCTATATCAAAATAGCTAATTATACTTTTACTAAACCACACAGGGACAGCGAAACAATTTTTTGATTGAAAAAGTCGAACATAGAAAATGAAAACATAGAAATTGTGTTATCACGGATCAATGAGTCCCTTCTTAAATCTCAATGGAGCGATTGAAGGTAAAACATTCCAAATCAAGCTCTTATTTGATTGGAAATAATGCGAAGGAATCACTATGAGACGATTGAGATCTTCCACGCACTCAATGAGTTTGTGTGTGAGTGAGCTTTTAGAATACAAACAAAACTATTAAGAATGCGGAAAGTCTACATATATGAATGGAAATTTCACACCTCAAGTCAAATTTTATCCCATAGTTTTTGTCTAAGGAGAAAGTCGTGGTCTTTGCACCCCTACCTCCCCCCCCCCTCTTTCCGGGATCAATGAGAACCTGAATTCAATATGATTATATTACTCACGATCATTTATATCAACGGCGAGGTACCAAAGGCGATCATATCTCCAGTGATGCTGTTTCTTCCAATGGTGTTTGCCTCTTTTCGACACAATCTTAAGGCATTTCGTCTTCGAATGCCATCCATAGATTGAGCATTTAGCTTTTTTGATTTTCTCACCCTTATTTGTCGCATTACATCCGTCAAAAACGTCAAAGTCTCGAGTGTCACAGAACGATGCTCCCGATAATCCGGAGGCAGCGTGGGTGTCAGTCGGAACGACTCGGACACTTCTAGTGGCCGATGTGAAACACCATGCTTCACGCTTACCCGATGCCAAAATTAAAGAAAGATTAGCATACAAACGGCGTCCTTCCACTGGGATATTCTTAGTGCAATTGATGTGCGCTGAAATAGAACGAAAGGTCAGTTGTACTGGATGGTCGAACAGCGAAGCGCTGTATGTTTTTGGCGCGAACAGTATGTTGTCATCAAACTTCTACCCAGAACGTTCAGTGGTATATGGTTATGATAAGGTATAATAATGTGCAGTATTGTGTAGCTAGGTTGCACTGCGATATCATGGTATAATGGTGTAAGATACTTTGTGTTATATGGTGCGATATGATGGTATGATATGATCTGGTATGGTCATGTGGATATTATAAGCTCTGGTATAGTATGGTGTGTTTAAAGTGGTGATATGTAGTATAGAAGGGAAAAGCGTATATATAGTATGGTGCGATATGTTATCTGAGGTAATAATGCCGGGTATGGTGTTGCATGTATTGTGCTGGTACCGATATGTTATAACAATAAGGAATAGTGTACCTATATATATACACTGTTGTGTGCTCTGGTGTGACGGAGAATGTTGTGTGGGTACATGATATGGTGTGCTGTAATAATATGCTTCGATATAGTGTGTCCGTGATAAGGTAACTGAGAAAACCACGTTACTTACAACTCTTTCTACGTAGACTGTGTGGATGTCCGTGTGCTAAACCAATGAGCAGGATTGCTACGATCAGAAGTTTCAAAAACATATTCTCTAAGAAAGTAGAGGAATTGAATTATTCATATTAAGTATCGTACCTTTCAAACTGATACTGATAAGCTTTAGAGGCGAATGTAAACTGTTTCAATACAACTGACTCGATGGTATAGGCTTTGTATAATTATAGAAAAACTTAAATACATCAAATCCTTCAAAATATCGGTAATTCAATGCCCAAAGAGAACGATCGCGTGTAAAAAAATCTTGGCCATCGTTTACATGGAATGCGACGCGTTTGTAATGCATTTTTTCTTTTGAATTTCGAATTTTTTTCCCTAAAAATACTCAAGTGCACGTCCACCCACCATAATCAAAGGAGGCTATGATGTCAAACATCTTAATGAGATTTGCATTCAAAAACGAAAATTTGACTCATTAAAGCCCATCAACTAAAAAACATCACCGTAGACGGTGGACAATTTTTTTCTCACTTGGGCATATATGGGACCCAGATGTCCTAGCTGAGACATTCCAATGTGCTAACATCTTGATTAGCAATGATTGATAGTGTCCAGCTTACAAATTATAGATTCGTTTCCCCATGCGCGCAAATCTGTCTTGAAATGCGGGGGGTGGGGGGAGGATCAAGATGACCTGAATGGACCAAGTTGTAGCGAAAGTTGTCCTAACAAAACGTAGGGGGGGGGGTAAGGGGGTAAGGGGGTATCCCCTCCCCACCCCAGGATTTGCGCGCTAACTTGCGTTTCCCTTAGCACATGCAATTAATGTCATTGCGACCTAAAATGACGCCATATAGCTGCAAATTGTTTGCGGAATAGGCTTGCGGTCAGAAATCGCGCAAGGAATCTTTCGGAACGGAAATCGGCACGCAAGGCCATGGCATACGAACGTTTCCCATATTCGCTGTTTGACTTGCAGTAAACAATATATAGAAACCGAGAAAGGGGGAGGAAGTATAATTCACCGCTTGAAGAAGGATGTTAATAATGCAGGTATAGCTAGATCATTAACAAAATGGAAAGCGTCTACATTATTAATTGGGTACTGAATTGATTAAGCAAGATCGATTTCAAACAAGACAAGAAAAAACAAAGGAAACGCTATTTTACCGAAGACAAGAGCTTTTTTTTTCCCTGTCGCTTTTTTATTTTTTTACACCCGTGCAGGACATGTAAGAACGTAAACCTTTTAACTTTTTGGCGTGCCGTAAAGCCTGTTTTCCACTAGGCGGAATTTTGCGCGCAGAGCGGAATTTTTCTTTGTTTTTCTCACATTAGTTCGGCATGAAAATTCCGCTTCGCGCACAAAATTCCGCCTAGTGGAAAGCAGGCCTAAAGTCAAAACAAACAATTTCAACTTACTTATAAGGCAGAACATGAAAATACGGATATTCCCTCTCCCTATAATTATCGCCATATTGACTACATCACAGTGTATAAATAATAACTTTAAACAACTATATTCATGAAAGCGTGCATGTGGAATTAGATTTTGTGGTAATGTGGTGTTTTTTACCGATTGCGTTGATCGAAGAAGGATTTAATTTTTTTTATACGTTAAAAAAACTCAATAATTACGTAAATCAGGCTATATATAAAGACAACGCCTATATTCAATTTCATTGTGTGGGTAAAATTGGCAGAAATCTAAAAAAATATGCTAGATGCATGTTTCAAGAAAGCTTCGAAAATGGCTTTTCCATGCATCAAATTCGTTTCAAATCTCGGTTTGTGTTCCAATGTAAAAACTGGGCGGCATGCAGCCAGTAAAATCCTGGCTGTATCATGCATGCTATAATGCATGCGATAATGCACATGTTTTGCAAATGGTTTTGGGCTGTGTATATATAGCGCTCATAACGAAAACGTTGGCGGAATTTTATTTTCGCTACGCGAGAATAAAATAGATTGGTGAGAAAAAGGCTTGTATCAGTCTTCTCATGCAGACGTTAATTGTCTCGCAGAGAAAACATGGCGGCTGATAACAATGTCTCCAGTCTGCGACATATAGTCACAACATGGCTTATTAATAAAACATTAGAGCTGCGTCATTAGAGCTGAAATAGTTACTTATATAGTTCATTAGGTGCTTCAGGATTTATGTACATGCATAGTTTCTACGTAGCAGGCAAAAATTTCTATTAATAAGACGGACGAGATATATACGTCCATCTTCTTATTTACTATGGTAAACTTCACCAGTACAACATGTCAGCTCGAACTATGTAAATAAAGGGTCGTCTCTTCAGGTAATTTTACAAAACCTCTGAGAGTAGTACACTGAACTGGGAGAAAACTGAAATACGCAAAGAATTAAACGATTCTTGCATCAATGTCACAGAGAAAAGTGGTCTAAAATTAAAAGCTATAAACTCGGGATTTCAACATGCACTCAAATTATAGACCTGTTGAAACTGGTCTACATCACAATTCACAATGTATATACTGTAAAAGATGACGAAAGAGCTTGTAATTATTGCCACATGATTAGGGTCAGCTATGAGCGTCTGTTGTATAGCTCCATCTAACGCAAAGTAATAACTGGAAGTTTGCTATTTGTTTTTAGGTTCAAATCTGAAAGGTTCACTCCTGATGAAATAACTCACTTGCTTTCGCCTTCACAAATTGTACTTGTATATACGTCGTCTCAATAATAGACATACGAGACCTTAAAATAGCTATCAATAAGTGCTCATGCTTTGATGTTTCACAATTCGACTGCTTAACATACCCGTGACACTGCTACTGGATATATTTAATTTCAGTGTGTAGGCACGTACCTAGTCCTAGGCTATGCTCTATACTACTTCAGACATAAATATCATCGTAATATTCTTTACCTTGTGCGCGTATATTCCGAGCGTTTACATCGACGAAATGCGACCCTTACGGACTCGAGGTGTATTTTGGAATCACATTGATTGGCCTTTTTAAATTGCGTCCAAAGTTCACACTGCAAGCGCCATGTGGCGCTTTACGACTTCGACGTGCGTGTATATACTACACGAATATTGTGCTTACATTTACAAGCAAGGAAAAGCATCGATCGAAAGTTCGAAACAGCTGCGCTTGTAAATAAAACTTCGAGAATCCATTCAAACACAACCGCTTGAGTATTTCTATAACGTACGCTGATGTCATCAACTCAGTTTTCAAAACAAAACACTCTTCCATATTTTGACAACGCGAGAAAATATCGTTATAGTTAACGACAGCATGCTAACGTAAACATAAGTGCAGAATAGATTAGCGAATACATTTTAGTTCAAACAAACAAATTATTAGGCTAGAGTTAGGCAATTAAATTTTTTCTTTTTGTTTATTATGTTGGAAGTATATTTTCTTGGCTAGGCCATGCAGGGCTTATATTCATAATTAAGGCTACGATTGCCGCTATATTGACTATTGTGTCTATGTCGCCATATATGCATGCAGTATATCTCTTTGTGGCGTCTATTACAAAATTTGAGCAACGCAGAATATATATTTAGAGATACGCGTGCATCAAACGGCTAAAACCTTTATAATATAAGCTGATGGCGATGCCATTTTACTCAAATCGTATTAAATAAGTCCGGCCTTGTTGCAATGTCCATGCATGGTTGCCGCTGGCATTTCACAGTTTTGAACGAAAGGAAAACTCTTAATTTTATTTACGAAATATCTGCTCAAACAGGATGTGAATCCCTGACATCGTAATATTGTTAGATTGTGCCAACTTCGATTAATATTTTTCTGTGCGTGCATGCACGTATAGCTACGCATCAAAACAAAACATTAAGGACTGAACATTTTTATGTTTATCATCGTCCTTCATCAACTAACATCTTAAAAACGTTCTTTAAATATACATATAGGGTTTATTAAAATGCTGTCGTTTTGTAAGGGTTTCTGCATGTTTATTATATGAACAAATTATAAATATAAGGAAACGACATGCAATTTTTAGTAACTCAAAAACAAATATGTATTTGAGGCACACATTTAACAATAACAATGTTCAGTAAAATGCGCTTATAGTTAAAGTCTCTTGATATAACTAATTTTACGTGTGTTTAAATCCAATTTTTCTCGGTGGCGTAAAACTCTATACAACACTCATGTTCATATAATAAAAATATATCATAGACATGCACGACCGTGTTCTGTAGCACAACTTCACGAAATGCAGTATTATTTATGTCGATGATATCACAGTTAATGGAGGTTATATGTATGGTTTATGTACTTATAATTGACTCAAAAAATTAAAAGCATGCATTATACGTGCATGCAAGCGAGTTTTTAATTGGATATATAGCAATACAATTTAGCAATACCTATAGCGTTATCCTATTACGTTCTAGGCTAGTTCATTTCACTCGCAAGAGATCGATTACACGGAAAGCCTTCGGCAATTTTAGCTATGCGTTGCAGGAGTTCCCAAATACTCCCTCGTAATACATTCCTACATCCTCGCACGTATTTTGAATCGACTTATAGACATAATAAAACAAACATTTCGATATAGACGATAATATACCCACGTGTATTTGTTTTCGTATCTGCATTTACGATAAAATATCGATAATACATTCATTTAACTAATTATAAATTCATATAGAACGTTTGTAGCTAAATGTGTCACGCGATGCAAAGTTCGGTATTACCATTAATTCAAATCGGGTAGTTTTTGAAAACGCGCTTTGCTGCCGTTAGTTACTGTTTGGAATTACACGTTGATTCGAACTGAAGTCAAAGATAGTTAGTATGGGGAAATATAGTAGACAGCTGGTATGAAAAAATAGAGGGAAATGCTCTGGTTAAAACACATCAGGGCATCATGCATGCATGTGTATATTTTGAGATAAGAATTACGATATTATATATATATGAAGTGGACGAAAAAATCTATAAGACTATATTGACGAATATAAAAAATCATGCACTCTAGTATTTCCAAGGCCATATATCTTTTCACAAAATCGTGTGTATACATATGTAGCCAATATTGTTCACGCACTATATATAAGTATAGTGAGTACATGCATATAAAAAACTGTAATCTCTGACTCTCGGCAGACTGCTGTTCCCTTCCAACAGAAACACTATAGGCTATGCCATTCACCAGCATTCGAGTATTTATATCTTTAAAAAACACCAATGCTTTACAACCGACAGTCATGTATAATTTTAAATTGATACCACTTTTTTTCAACTTAAGTTAACTTACAAATCACTTTAATTAAAACATGGGAAACTGCATGATAAACATGATTCCCTTCTTTCCTGCTTGTGTTGCAACTTTACGGATGTATTGGTATAATTAGTTTATCTTTTTAAAACGGTATAGGCATGCACGTAATTATTATATAAAGACAACTGCCATGTTTGGTTCGCAAGGCTAAAATACAGTACAGCGCTATATATAAACTATATATACACAAACCATAAAACAGATAGCTACATATATATTCGTATATTTATAATATAAAATATATCGCGGAAAAGAATTTCCCTCGCAATGACAATGTGTCATCAATTGTTTCAGCTGTCCTTTACGGACTCGAAAGACATGTAGGCAGTTCTATGCCTATGGTCAAACGATTCTGTTTTTTATCTTGCTGATTTTCGATACTGGCATCTTTACTGATTTCCATGAGTCGTATGCGAGCAATTGCACGACTTGTTGTTCCTCTCGTCTCGTTTTTGACGTTTATGTTTTTAAAACTTATACACAAATATATCATTGTCGTAGCATATATATATATATATTGATCAATTTCAACATGCATAGCTATATGATCTGAAAATGGATTTTTTTAACTAACCCAATTTTTACCTTATGAATTTCAAAACGAAGTTTCTCAAAGCGAGACAAATAATTTACAGTTCATCAGAGCCAGAGCCCAGAGGCGTTCATACAACTGTGTTGGTTTTACACTACGAATTTCATGAAATTAAAGTTAAAGAATAATATACTTCAGAAAAATCCACGCCTCTGCAATATAAGTTGTACATATAGCGAAATACGACTAACCCATGTATGTTAAACTGTTCAAAACTGCAAAACAGCAGGCTATCGAAAAGATATGTACGCAACACGTATACCACGCTATATATACCATTGTTATGACATTGAATTTGCGCGGTTATTTGCGAGTCTTTCTTGTAATATACCGAGTAAGAATCCCGTGTTAATACAACAAAGGAAAACATAAGTATCATACACGCTGATTTCGTTCTAATGTTTATAAGGATCACAACAATTCCTGGTATATCCTGTAATAATCTGCCCGATTGAGACGACATGTATACACTTTCTACAACGCGCTAATTCAACTGCGTGTGGTAGACTTTCTATCGATATTTATGCATACCTTTGCTTAGATGCGTCGCTCCCGTAGGAAGACCGGTCTAAGTGCGTCAAATTCGGTTGTACGGTGAAGGAGAAACGTGTCTGAGGGGCGAGTTTGGTTTGAAAGTTTGCCAATGTTCGTTCTGTGCCCAGCACGGAAGATCAAACAACGTCGTTAATTACCTACAACTTACGTACGGGCTGGGAACTGCAGGTCATGTTGGATCGTATTTCACTCGAAGAATCAAACGTGTTTTATCATAACAAATAGCTTGTGGTGTAGACAATTGACGCATGAAATATGAGCCATGGTTCTCGTGCTGCGTGACCGTCACGAGTGCAGGTGGTGAACGCATTCGACGACTCGCATGCGCATTTCTTCTTCGATAGCCGATTAAAAACGAATTAATTAATCCCGTTTTCTTTCCACTTGGCGAATTTATTCGCGCGAACAGATACAAAGTAGGAAGCGAATCCGCTTTTTCGTGGCGAATTCTTTCGCAAACAAATCACATCACGGCATCACCCGATTTTAGATATCGCTTCGCGTACGTCGCGCGCAGAAACTCGCCTGGTGAAAAACGGGCCCTAATCGCTTCGTTTCAGAAACTCCGTTGCCTGGTTATTTTTAAACATTAAATCTTCGCTTATACTACACCCAATTTATTGGCACGGTCACGGGAAGCATTGATAGCCCGACACGGTGAATATTCGCTACGTGCAACAACAATTTTAGCCCTGCTGTTGCACTAAATTGACTGTGGTGTACCGCTCTAGATTTTCATTGGTCAAGGCGGTCCATTGCGTAACCTGTTTTTTTAAAACTGGCAGGAAAGCAATCTTAATCACAAAAGCTCCATATATTTCTTTTGACATATATTTTCTCTTGACAGATAGCTATATTTAGGTCTGTTTTCCACTGTCGCGTTTTCATACGCACGTACACGCACGTAAAAGTCTAAATCCTTATACATGCATGTCATATTTGGAAAAGCCGGGTGAATAAATCAAAAGAACTTAGTTTACCGCATATTTTAGTATGCATTGGTTGACCAATTCGTTAAATAATGACAACGTGTATGAAAGGCGTGAAAAACGCCTTTACAGTGAAGTCGAAATAAAAGAATTGTCATAGGGTTTTATCACCCTGAAAAAAACAAAAGTGATTCATTGGGACATTCTATTGTTCTATTGTTCTATTGTTCTATTGTTCTATTGTTCTATTGTTCTATTGTTCTATAACTTCATTGTCTGTATGGTTGGTGAGTACACAGGGTGTCCCACAGCAAAAAAGTATACTGGCTCTATTTGAATCATTCTTTTGTTGTTAAGGGTACTTTTTTGGGGAGCACACTACTGCGACACTTTGCATCGCTTTTTCAAGCTAAATAGCCTGACACTATACCCTGTCGCGTGTGCAACATTTAACAGTTATTCTGCGAACTCGAGTCGTATATGAGCTGATAGCCGCAACTGTTTTATTATATACAAAAACTTCGTGCATTTTGGTGTGCTATTATCAACTAAAGCTTGGATTTCTATTTCACTCAACTCCCCAAATCTTTCGGCCATTTTGTTTACTTTCTCTACTAGACAGATATAAGCTCTCTATTTACATTATATACACAAGCGTCAGATATGAGGTATGCTGCAATTTCATTGGTTGGCTACTAGACAGATATTAGCTCATATCTGTCTAGTAGAGAAAGTAAACAAAATGGCGGAAAGATTTGGGGAGTTGAGTGAAATAGAAATCTAAGCCTAGTTGATAATAGCACACCAAAATGCACCGAAAGGGCGACAAAGTTTGTGTATATAATAAAACAGTTATTCTGCTCACTCTCGTCGTATATGGCCGATAGCCAACTCGGCCTCGGTCGGCTATCAGCTCATATACGACTCGAGTTCGCAGAATAACTGTTAAATATCTGTCTAGTAGTGTTGTATACTTGTGTATATAATAAAACTCATTAAATGTATCAAAGTTGAGTTACTAAATTTTCAAGGTAAACGCTTACTATTTACCATAAAGATTCTTGCCCTCGAGAAAAACTGTAGTCAAGTATAGAGAATTACGTTTTGTTAAGAGTTAAGACAAATTTTCCCTAAGAATATCTTTCAGTAAATCAGTGATTCTGTTATATAGATAAGCCGATATAGACGTTTTAGCTACGTAGCAACAAAATTGTTAAAAATTGCTCATTAAACCAATTTTGAAAGGTGAGGAAAAGGTATTCTATATATATACTGTGTATATATATATATATATATATTAATTATATATATATATTTATATACTGTATATAAATGTTTAACCATGCAAGCAATATATTAACTACGCGGATACTTAATTTTCTTTATCTTTTTATATATATATATACTGTATATATATATATATATACTGTATATATATATATATATATATATATACAGTAGGAGGCAAAAGTTTGAGTCCAGTCGTTGTAGAATTCCAGTATTAAATCCTGGCAGCGTATTGGAGTTAAGACATGCGTGCTAGTGTTTCAGTACTGTAAACTATATTAATTGCACACTGTTTTGGTCCTAATGATCTAAATTATAACAAAATAAAGTTCTCATTCCTTTACACTGCCCAAGATGGGTAGGAAAAAGGGCAAAGTGATGGTGCACAAGGACAAATAGTTCCATTAAGTATTGAAGGATTCTTTCCTCGTAAGATCGCAGAAGAAGTGAGAATTTAAAAAGGTGGTATGCAACTAACCTTGGAGAGGTTCGAAGAAACTAAATCCTACTCAAGCAAACTTTTAGCTGCTTTGGTCATGCTCGGTTTGGCAATATTGAAAGATATAATAGGATCCTAATTAAAGAAAAGTATCATCCAATTCTTCAAGGACATGGAATTTCATCTGGTACAAAGATGATCGCACGTCTAACTACATGATAATCACCCTAAGCACATGCACATCTTCTATGTGCCAGAAATCGTTTAGAAGCAAACTCATTCTGGTGATCTCGTTGTCATGGCTTTCCACCTCATATTCCAGATCTAAAACCTATGGAGCACTTGTAGAACCGTTTTAACCGGAAGAGGGCGAGGCACAGACCCGCCAGCCAGGCTGACTTGAGGCAAGTGGTCAACGAATGCTGGCAAGGTATTGAACGTGTGACATTAAAAAACCTATGGAATCTATGCGAGCAAGAATAAAGGTCATTTCAAGAGCAAAAAAGAGGGAACTAAGCAATGACATGTAAATGCATGTTTGCACATTAAAATACGTAAAAATGAATATCATAACATCTCATAGTTGTTGTACAGCATGTATTTTTCTGTTTACTTGTTTACTTTTTTCTAGTTCACTTATCGGTAAGGTTTTCTGTAGAATATTAATATATGCTGCTGAAACAAAGAAATACAGTCACTGGACTCAAACTTTTGCCTCCTACTGTATACGTATATATAATATTATATATTATATATATATATATATATATATATATATATATATATATATATATATATATATATATATATATATATATATATATATATATATATATATATATATACCCATTTGCAAAAACGTTGGCCGCAGATAGATATATATATATATATATATATATATATATATATATATATATATATATATATATACCCATTTGCAAAAACGTTGGCCGCAGATAGATAGATAGATAGATACTCGAAGTCTAATTAGAATTGCATATGATTACATTTGCATGGGATTTCAATCATATTACACAACATATGCAATTCTAATTAGATTTCGAGTATCTATCTATCTATCTATCTGCGGCCAACGTTTTTGCAAATATATATATATATAATTTATTATATTATATATATTATATTTATATATATTATATTTATATATATATATATATATATTATATATTATATACAGTATATATATATATATATTATATATATATATATATATATATATATATATATATATACATGCAGTATATATATATATAAAAAGATAAAGAAAATTAAGTATCCGCGTAGTTAATATATTGGTTGGTTAAACATTTATTGCACGTGCCTGCTTCACGGTAACAATGATGATTATAGAGTTCTCCAAAATATTTTCATCAAAGATAAATTCCTGGTAGCCCCTATAATTATTGTCATAATACGATAATTTTATATATTGGTCCTTCATAAACGCTGAATCCACTTGAACCTATTACTCATTGCGTGAGGTTGGCGGCCTAGCGGTTGGCCAATTAAACAGTCAAAACCGCTAAGTGTGTATAAAAAAATTCTTTATATTTTTTTATTTAACAACATCTTAGATACATGAGCCGTGATGGGCGATATTCCTTCATTTAAATGTGCGATTCAGTCTGTTTACATTAGCCTGTCTAGCAGTACAGGGAACGGAAAAGTATAGAATTATTGTACGTTTTATGTATATAGCTATAGGGCCTAGTCAATGAATTTTCTGCCCTGAAAATGCACGACTTTAGAGTTTAGTCATGCAGTTGGTAATGACATCAAAAATTTGCAGTTTCAGCCTTATTCAGCCGGTTTAGTTCTTTAATTGTTTCTATATATGTGCGATTCCGTGTTTAAATAAGCGTGGGTGACTCACCGGAAGAGTATGTTTTTGTGGGTATAGTGAATGAATTTTCTGTCTGAATATAACTTCGGAATAAACTGAGTAGAAAATTTACTGCATTTCAATTATATCTTCTCAGTATATGAATCATATTATTGTATCCTATAAAGATGTGTCGATTATTCCGAATTTTCCAGTTTAGTTTTCTGCCAGATCACGAATAAGTTTGTGAAGTTTGATCACTTATTGACATTGGATAACTGCATGTCTAATAATACAATATGACAGAAATTTGTCTTGCATCATTTAAATGTGTATTCGGTATTTAGAGGTATTTAGTTGTGATGTAAAGTTTCAGTAAAGATTAAAATTCAAACTTTTTCGGTAAGAAAAAGGAAACACGGTTGCAGAAACATTGGCGTGATATTGTTTTTAGTACATGCTTCCGAGGGGCCGCGAAGTGTTTAACAAAGAAACTCAAGTGGTTGAGGAAAAATCGCGAGTCAAAAGCGGTTAGATGTACTGTCAAACATGCAACGTTACATTGCACTGCCGATAACTGCAGATCTAATGCTTAGCTCACACGTCGTGTTTTGGCATGATAATAGCTGCTTAATAGGGCTTAAAGTGCCTATAGGTATCATGCTTGCGGATTTCGAATATATAAAATTGTTTAAGGTATTTTAAAAAACTTTGCAATACATTTTGTTATAAAAATTAGTCTTGCAGGATTTATTAGCCTTAAGCAATTCAGCCTTAGGGCTGCAAAGTAATTTTAATACACTATCTAACTATCTATCTATCTTAAAGTCACCGGACATGACGTCAAATCATGAATTTCGTGCAACTGAGACAAAAGAAAACTTATTTGCAATTCAAGTTTATCATCTCATCTAATAACATCTATTGGGCTGCATTCGATCGAGGCAACTAGAATGATCGAGGACGAGGCAACTATAGAAGTTTTTGTCATGACCGCAATACGAATTTACATATTGTCCGGAGCTTCGGGAGATTTGCCAGCGCACTGACTATAAAATACATAACCCAAATGAAACTGAGCTTCTTCGCTCTCATAGCAAAATTCATTGCAATTTTATCGCCGAAAAATTGACAATAAGTATGGGTCTGTCTCGCTCAGTCACGTTTTACGCGTACGCACATGCAAGTCGAAGTTTAACTAATCCATTTAAATTGATATAACTAGATTTAGTACATTCATGCAGCTGTTAAGTTAAATGAGAGCTTGGAGAAAGCGCAGCTTCTCAGCCCGAAAAATTCGTGAGAGTTGTCATGAAATACAAGGAAAAGGTCCTGAGGTGGAAACATCAAAACGTTCTCTTGTATATTTTTGACATTTGCCAAACCACATTTGATGAAAAGTTTTTTGGAATATATTTTAAACCAATTTAGGGAGGGGAAACATAAAATGCAACTTGCGTCACAAACACCTCGTCCCATGATTACGAAATCACTTTTGTGATGTTATTAACTTTTTCACTTATTGAAGTAACGTGAAGTATCAACCTCCGCTGATATGTATTTGCAAATACCGTGGGCGCATTTCTCCCTGAAATTTGCCAGAAATGTCTTTTATCATAAAAATAACGAAGTGGCTATTCATACGGCACCCGTATCGATAAATCACTGTGCTATTCGTACGGCACACCACTGCACATGCGTACTCGTTTACATTTTCATAATACAAATACGAAAAAGTATTTAAAAGTATTTAAAACACCTATCGACCATACTAACGATATTTTAATTTGTATGTAAATCCAGACGTCTTCTAAAAATGGCTCATATTTTGAGCGGCTTGATAAAATATACGTGTTTTATAAACACACACAAATACGAGCAATACTCCCTAGTACTACAACGCACGATTTCAAGCCACTTGCGTCAACATTTCACTGCCAATGCTGTAGTTTAAAATGACGTAAGATACCTTTTAAAATAAAAATAATAGTTTTATCACATGTCTTTTGTCCTCCCGTATCCCAACTTGACCTTCGTTATTCGTACGGCATGCACATTGTTTGATTTATAATAATATAAGAAAATTTATATTTTGGCAAAAATCTTATGTTTCATTATGTCATTCTAGTTAATTATTCTACATTGAAACTGTAGATTTAAATATAGTGAAGTGTGTACACTTTTTAAAATTACCTAGGGGGAGTGGCTTGGGAAGGAATGGTGAGGCATCATGGCTATTAAATAGGTTAGGCTTTTGATGCGGGGGGGGGGGATAAACAAAAAAATTAATAGTACGAAGGGGGGACACCATTTAATTTCAGCTTATTTAGGAGGCTATTTACTGTAACATAATACAAATTAGAAAGTCCCTCCTTCTATAAATAATTACCAATCAATGTATGTGTAATTGCATAGTCACCTCTATTGTTATATTTATATTGTATATTTTGTATACTAAAACTTAAAACACAATGTGCAAATATGTCACAAAGCCATGTCATTCTTAATGTTCAATGACATACAATGTATGAAAAGGATATGATTTAAAAGCCAATAACACAACCCTGCTTCTACCCTGTACAGCAACCCACAGTGGTAATCATTTAAAACCTGTTTCCCTATTTTTAATATGATTAATATCTATTAACTGAGGCACAGAGACTGAGGTGAGGTGTTCCCTTAACATGTAGAACATTAAAAGAATACCAGGGTTAATATGCATACAATATTAAATGGATTTTAACCTGTTATTGAGCTGGCAATTAAGGGTAGCCTCCCTCTAGAAAAAATATTGTTCGATGTTACACAACGGAAAATAACAAAGTAAATTCACTTTGCTTCAATTGAAATGAGTCTAACGTATTTATGGTTTTACTGTAGATATTTTACTTATAATCATTTTGCTAAAAGTATATAAGTTTGATTATAAGCAAAATATTTTGCATGGATCATGTGATCTTTGTAATGAAAATTGTAATGAAAACATTAAATTAAATATATATATATATATATATATAATTTAATGTTTTCATTACAATTTTTTGAATGAATAAGTTGCTACTTCAATACATTTCATGCAACAAGCAATCAATATATTGCCTTGTTGCATGAAACTTGAAGTAGCAACTAATTCATTCAAAAAATTGTAATGAAAACATTAATTAAATGCTCTACAAAATTGTCTTGTATTGAGCACTTTCTATTCTTGTATATATATATATATATATATATATATATATATATATATATATATATATATATATATATATATATATATATATATGTTATGCTTCATGGCCATGTTATGCTTCATGGCCATGATCCTTTACACAAGTTCGACAAACCCAGGTTTTTGCTTTTGGTGCTTCTGCCTTTCCAGTGCACTTCAGGTGGTACCACTCTAAACATACATCACAGCCAATTGCTTTGTTGTTTTTCAGCTCTTTGGAACATGCTTTGCAGTCCCATGTTTTCTCTTTCTTTATTTTCTTTATCAGCAATTGCAGTGTTTGCCAGGCACTGTTTGAGAAGTGTTTCTTTACTCTGTATATATTGATTGTATCATCTAGGATCTTGGACCTCGCTCAAGTTTATGAAATTTGTCATTGTCAATGATTTCCTAAATGAAGTATAGCTTGACTTAATGACAGAAAGCAGAGGTTAAAGTGATGTATTTCTGGGTTGGGTTAAGACCCAGTATAACATGATTACTAGGGTGCCCAGGTCCCATGCATCATTTGTTTTGAGAGTTAAGTAAAATTGTGTAATTTGATGTAATATAATAATACAAATAATTAGCAATGTTTAGATATGCAAATGTGGCAGTTATTTGTACACAAGCAGTAGCAATTAGCCATCCTGACAATTTGGTCATGCTATGCAAATTTTATGATTATCATTATTCATTTTTTTAGAAATTGATAGTTTTCATGATCTATGAACACAGAAATATTTGCAAATTGTCAGGCTGGCTATGCCACTGTACACAAGCCCCTGCCACTACCTCCCCCACACTGCCATCAGTTGGTCCAGAGAATCCAGATCCAAATTACCTTCAAAACTGGATCAACTTCTTTATTATGCAAGAAAAAGTTTCTTTTTCCTAGAGGGGTTAATTAAGAAAAACAAGTGTTAAATTTTAAAAATTACTATATTTTAGAAAAAATTGCATAAATTGTATTGTAAAATATCACAAATAATACAATTACTCCCAAAAAGTTAAAAAATAAAAGTTACCTTTAAATTTCTTTGTCCACATTTTAGATAGTGACACATCAAGTATACAATAATACAAATATTTTTAATAATGCTCGGTACAATATTTGCATTTCCCGCGCTTTGGCGCGTTAGTACCTAGGACGCTGACAGGGCCAGATGAAGATAATACATTCAAAACAATGTGCCGTACGAATAACGAAGATCAAGTTGGGATACGGGAGGACAAAAGACATGTGATAAAACTATTATTTTTATTTTAAAAGGTATCTTACATCATTTTAAACTACAGCATTGGTAGTGAAATGTTGACGCAAGTGGCTTGAAATCGTGCGTTGTAGTACTAGGGAGTATTGCTCGTATTTGTGTGTGTTTATAAAACACGTATATTTTATCAAGCCGCTCAAAATATGAGCCATTTTTCGAAGACGTCTGGATTTACATACAAATTAAAATATCGTTAGTACGATAGTCGATTTAAATACTCATACTTTTTCGTATTTGTATTATGTAAATGTAAACGATTGATTTCCTGTAGTACGCATGTGCAGTGGTGTGCCGTACGAATAGCACAGTGATTTATCGATACGGGTGCCGTATGAATAGCCACTTCGTAAAAATAAATTTTACGTCAGTTTATAAATACCGCTAGTTTTCCCATTGCTTCGACGCGTAGAGCGTATTATTTTGCTTCGTCTTTGGCTTTTGGGATGTCGTGGAGGATCATCTCGTGAAACACTTCTGGACGTAGACTGAGTAAACATATTGAGAGTGACTTTTAAAGGATAAATAATCGTCGCTTGTTTTGGGACATGTCAGACGGCATAATCCAACAATGCCGTAAATTCCTTGTCGTAATTTTGATCATATTTCACGCCGAAGGTAAGCTACGCGTTGGGGATGTAATGATTTTCGTTATCGCTAGCCTAAAATCGATTTCGAAGCCGGTAATTTTTTAAATATCGCCGCTAAAGTTGACCAATTTTCTCGCCTGTAAATCTCCTTGTTTGACTCGCAATTTTGAAACGCAAGTGCAAAAGAACGTAGACACTTCACAATTATAAGGGGAAATAAGGAGACTGCTTTTTCCATGACTGCGTGCAATCTTAGACTACATACAAGTTTTTTATCCCAGTGCAGCTGCCTTTATACTTTATATTCATCGCTATAAAATCCATTTAAAATACACAACATTGAAATCGCGGTCGGGTCAAAAAATCTTTATTGATCGCGTGAACACCCCAAATCTACGTCCAAAGTCATAATAAATCGTACCAACGTGTCAGTATGTAGATTCCGTCGTTTTGTCGGGTTTTGACAAAATATAAGGTATACCTCAAGGAAGTAAGTTAAACATTTGGACATCAAGTTTGAAATTAGGGAGTCGATTACTGTTCAACATTTTTTTATATGTTTATTGGTTTATACGAGATGCTATAGAATTATTCATGCAATGTTAGAATGACCAGCTAAAAATGTATTCAGAAATGCAGGATCATTGTTTTGTCTTGAAAATTCATTGCAAAGGATTACTTAGGTACATAGTCCATTTATTTATTTTCTGGTAATATAAATAGATGGTTTTTCAAACCTGATGGGGTATATCTCCGTCTCTGTTGGGTGCCTGCCCTTGTGTTTAGGTCAGGTCAAAATCTCCATATATCCAAAGAATGAGAAATAGCCAAGCAATATATGATATGTAAAAAAACTGCATATTTGATGTGTATTCAATGTATGAAAAGTCTCATTTCTATCAGAGAAATGGTATTGAAACCAAATAGGGAAAATGAAGAAATCTAAGGAGATAAGTTTTTGCTGCCTTCAAAATCTCCGTCAGCTAAAAAGGGGCAATGTGTTTGGTACAAAATTTCCACTTGCCTTTCACTGAGAGGGAAAGTCAAAATCATTGCTTCTTGAGATACTATTGTCATAGCAATTTTCACAGAAAGTGTGGTATGTAGTGATGTCTAGGTTTTGTGAGACTTGCATTATTAACAAGTTGATTATGTTTCAAGGGCATTATATTTCAAAAAGCCATTTATTTAAGTGAAATCTTAGCAAAACGTTAGTAGCAGAGACCTTGTAAAAAATAAATATTGCCAGTTCTAGCAATGGAGAAAGGTCAAATGAAATTAGTAATTGTTCACCCTAATGTGTGATATTAACAGCTAATATAATAACAGCTAATATACAGTATTAACAGGTGATTTTCTGTACAAAACCTTAACTGTAGAGAGGACAGTTGTTTAAAGCCTAATTGGTGCTTTATGTATTTTATTTAATGTATCTATGAATAGCTTTTCTGATCTTGACTTAAATGAGAAATAAACTGTAAAATGTTTGATTTTTTGAATTTTTCTAAACCCATCTTTTGAACAGTCCATTCAGGGTGAATGAACAATATTTGAATTCATGTTCTTGTATGTTTGCATGGTGACATCATATAAGTAAATTAGCTTGTAGGTACACCACATAATATTTAATATCGCAATGCTTTCGGTCTGTTAACCCGTTCCTTCATCAGTGGCTTTGCAATATTAAATACTTATGTGGTATACCTATAAGCTAATTTATGTAATATTTAAATTGCTCTGAACATTGTGAGTTGGCATAATGTGTGATAGTAAAATATATGCAATTTCATTGACATTGGGAAATCTGATTTGTGGATAAGTACATTTTGTTTTCTATCTTCATTTTAGCACTGCAGCTCTCTTGGAAGAGTTTTCGTGGTAGAGATTGTTTTTGGCGTAAATTAGGTAATCTTCATAATCACATACTTAATAATCCAAATATGATGGTTGCAATGTCAAGACTATTGGTCTCAAATTTTTTAAACAGTTTAAAACTTGCATTCACTTTATACAACCTCTCCTTGACAAACTGCAGAGGCCAAGTTTTGAAGGCTCTTGTTGCCATTTTGCTACTTGAAATATGGTGGCTGGAAAAAGTATACAAAAACGTGACCAGCCACCACCACCACATCTTGTTATCCCAGATTCAGTGTGTCAACATTGTAGGTGCGGTTTTCTACTTCTGACAGATGCAAATGAGTTTATAGTTATGAATGCTCTGTGCAGAAGCACCCTTATTTGAACATCAGTGACTTATCCTATCATTCACATTCTATCAAAAGACGAAACTTACAACTAATAATAGACCATTTCAGTTTGCATGCAAATTAACCCATTTCAGATGTTGTGAAAATTTAACCGTTTCAGACCATGTGATTTGAAAAGGGTTAATTCAACCTCGTACCTCGTTAATTTGCATACCAGCTGAAAGATATTTATACAGAATTCAAAGTTTCCAGTGGTGATTTAAACCCTGGGTACTGAAACCCCCAGTGATAAAAACCCTGCGTAATAAAAACGCGGATACTGAAGTTCATTATTTCTATTCATTTTAATTTTCCTCCTAAATTTATTAGGAACAAGATATACACTCTTGCAAAACACAGATTCGTCAACATCCCGACCGTACGCTTCACTAACAGCATTCCATGACCTGAAACCTGGTGACCAAGTTCCCGGAAGAATTTGCATCACGTATCGTGCACGTAATATATGGAACACAGAAATAGTCTTGCTGCTTAATTCTCGCCAGCTTGAAAGCGTTCAAGATGATGAAAAACATGACATTTGTGACCGCTATTATACCCGTAATAGGATTAAGGTGGGTTTAAAAACCATGGAATATTTAATAATTATTGAATTCGGTTTTCACATGATATGAAGATTTATCAAGCCGAAGACGTTTGTCATTATTAACCGAAGCCGAAGGCTGTGGTTGATAATGACAAACTAAGGCTTGATAATTCTTCATATCATCTGAAAACCGAATTCAATAATTGTTTTATTATTTATTTAAAAGAATGAACATTACAAATTTACAACTTTGAATTGTTCGCTCGAATTTGTGTCGATTTCACATTCCCGCTCCCTTGGGACGTTGATGTCTTCGCCATTGGTACGACGTCAAACGTGGGATACTATACACTTAATATATGCTCCCGAGGGAAACAGTGAGTTTTGTTTTCCCAAGAGTCTGAATGTTTCCCGAGACGAAGTCGAGGGAAACAATGAGACTCGAGGGAAAACAAAACTCCCTATTTCCCGAAGTAGTGTACATTAAGTGTTTTGTTATATAGGAACGAAAACATACATGTTACACAACAATTTCATTTAAAAAAGAAACCCACTTTACTTTGTTATGTCAAGAAGCGGGCAACAATTTTTCACTTGTTTCCCTGGCGGGAAACATTGCATTTATTTAAAATCATGTGACTACAAATGAACCAATCACATTTAAAATACACAGAACCTATATAACAAGACTATTTATGACACGTTATGACGTAGCAACGTGCAAGAAAAATGTCGTATCACACGTTATGAAGTCAAACGTTGGACATGACGATTTCACCATAGACAATCCAAAAGAAAAAGGTGATTATTGAAAATTTTGATCTCTGATTGGTCGAGCGACCCGCGATATAATCACCTAAGCGGATTTTTCAAAAAATACTTTGTCTTTTGGATTGTCTATGATTTCACACATGGCTATTATCCAATCAGAGGTTGTTTATTATTTGAAATAAATAATAACTAACAATTATTCGCCGAAGGCACAGAGCATACAGAGGTTTGACTGCCATTAAATTTGCGTACCCCTGGCTTAGCCAGTGCGCTCAAGAGAGGCCTTCTCCCCCCGGGAAAGCATGCATATGGCGGCGGCTTGAACACATGTATGGAATATAAACAGCCGAGACAGAACTATCTGGAGAAATCGTATTTTTGACAAAAACGTTGCTTAATTTTTTTCTAAAAACCAGATTTTGTTAGTTCTTATCCTTTAGAAGAGTATAGAAGTGGGAGCGATCTGTTTATTTATATAGCGATGGCTATTTATAATGTTCGGGGGGGATAGGGCCTCTTTAGTGCACTGGCTAACAACATGGCCGCTAGGAACGCATAATTAATGCAAGGTCAAACCTCTGTATGCTCTGTGCCGAAGGCGAGGTGAATATCACTGAAAGCATGATTACGCTGAAAGCATAATTACGGTGTAAGCATTTAGTATATTTACAAAGGTGATTTATTGAGAAAGCGAATCTGTTGTAGAAAATACATGTTTTACAAACGTAAACAAATATGTGGACAGTTTTACAGCGATTTAAATAAAACAATGTTTTTCAATAAAACAATAAAACAAAGCTGAAAAGCGGTTCTGTAAAGTAGTTTTCTACCCTAATTTTTTCACTTCTTTTTTGTGCTTTTAGGTATAATTCAAAATAACGCATTTCTTCATCTGTCACTTTGGCAAAAACAACTCGCCGCCATTTTGAAAAATCCGCTTAGGTGATTATCGCGTAATAATCCAAGATAGCTCGACCTATCCGAGGCCAGAATTTTCACTAATCACCTTTGTATAATTATACTAAACATAATTAACAACTGTTGAAATATCTACTGTTCGACTGATTCGATTGAATACACCCCCCTCTTTCTAAAAGAAGCACATTTGGAAAGTGCATAAGTTATATGCAATGAAGGAAATAATAATGCGGTTTTGCCGCAGATCTGGGGCCGGGTGTACGGAGGCTGGATAGCGTTATTCATGATATAGTATCAACCCTTCTACTAAAATTGCTATAAAAAGAAAAAAAATAGTCCATTGGATCTAACAATTATTAACACGATCCTCGATTTAAGATTACAAAAGTTTAAGTTTAAGCTTAAAAGTTTAGAGGTGATACCGAACAACGGTCAATTTTAAAGCTATGGAGAAAAACACTCGGTATCTGCATGGTGTATAGCGCTATCTATCTTTCAAACAACCGGACACTGGGCTTTTCGGGCCGGTTGTACGAAGGCCCGGATAGCGTTATCCACCGGATAGTGATTTTTTTCAACCGTTCTAAAAATGCTCGAGATTTAATCAAAGTTATAGAAAACAACGGGCGATTTTAAAGCGATTGAAAAAAACCACCATCTGGTGGATAGCGCTATCGCCGGCTTTCATATAACCGGCCCCTGATGGGTTAATTTTTTGTACATTACAGAGCTTAGCAATTCATCACATGCAGTTTGCATCACGTTGATGAGTTCATTCGGAGACATCTCTTAAACAATTGTTTTTTTGTCTTTCCCTTCAAGGTCTCATTTAATGCCACCTGCCAGATACATCTGATAGGTGCAGTAGTGATAGATAGCTTACACGTGGAACTGATGGACGTGGAACAAACGACTACACCAGTACCTTCTTTACCTTCGACAACACTAAACGGTGAGTTTTATTTTGCATTAAAGTTGCATAACATCTAAAGGCCGATTGACAGGATGCGATTAGTCGTATACCAATTATGATTTTTGGCACTTAACTCGATGTTGGTAAATTCTAGAGGTTTAAAGGGTCTTAATTTCGAGTGGAGTTATACGCACTTCAAATTCGAGCCAGGAACAAATGATGGAAAAATTAGTCAAGTGTAGGTTCGATTCCTGCCGGAGGACCTATAGTTGACTCATTTTTCCATCAACTGTTCCTGGCTTGAATTTGAAGTGGATATAATTCCACTCGAAATTAAGACCCTTTAAACCTCTAGTCGTATGCGATTCTCATCCTGGGTTCCGGTTGTATCAAGCCCGTTTAGCTTAAACGGTGGATAAGTTCAAAATAAAAATCAAGTCTATCGTTTTATTCAAGAAGCAAACTAAATGTTTTTAACCTTAATACAAAGATACTGTTTACAACTACATATTCAGTGCATAATATTCAAGTTGACTCATTCAAGAGAGACCTGAGAGTGTTATTTAATTTTGACTTATCCACCGTTTAAGCTAAACGGGCTAGATACAAACGTATGAAAACGATTGCTCATAACGAAATTTAAAATGTGATATCCTTAAACGTATTTATTGTATTGGAATACATGATACGAGTCGTATAGCTCGCCAGGATATGAGTCGTATATGACTAATCGCATTGTGTAAATAGAATAGACCTTAATCCTCCACCAATTTCGGGTTATTGTAAGTTCAGAAAAACATTTTTTTATTATCAATATCAGTTAGTAAAAGAAAATGGCAACTAAAAGATAAAATTCACATGTTTCACTAAATGTCAAAACTGATCTTACGTGATTTTTACTCGCGTGGCGTTTTCAAACCTCGCCATTTTTATGTTGTAAACGCACAGGTTTTGGCGGGAAATGAGCACGTGATCGATATCTTCACTTGTAAAAATATGGAAAATATCTTACTGTGTATTTTTCATATTAGCTATACTGCTATAATGTCTAATATTATATCTCAACTGTAAATCATCCAATCAGAAAGCTCGATTTGTACCACGTGATCAGTAAATTAATCATGGAGTTCCATCGAATTTTTTCACATTATGCTATAAAAGTCGAATACCCCGCTGCAGCGGGGTATTCGAGTTTGCGTGTACCACGCGTGGATGCCTCGCACACGACTCGAGGTTGTCAACAATTTCAAAATGGAGGCAAAAGAAGCCATTTCACCCAGCTTTTGCGCTGCCTACACATTGTTTCGATATAATATATAATTTATAGACCTTCCGCTCGGGGAATTCGACGAAATATTACCCCCTCGGGAAGATATATCCCTCGGGCGAAGCCCTCGGGATATATCTTCCCTTGGGGGTAATATTTCGTCGAATTCCCCTCGCTCCAGGTCTATAAATGATAACTATATCTTCAGTACTGTCAGCCTTTAAGGCGGTTTTACACTATACAACTTTCCTTGCCACTTGCAATGGCATCTAAAGTTGTCAAATACGCGCATTTCTTACGATATGCCATTGAAGTCAAAAGAACTCAAAAGTTTTTTGAATTCAATGCGATTTTGAGTTCAATGCGATATGCTAACGTTTTCGTAGCATTTCGAACACTCTAAAAATTAACATCCCTCAAATTTATAATTGCATTCCAAGTTCCATGGGAAATTGCACATTGTAACAGCGCACATGCAAAATGTGTAAAAACAGACGAAAAATTTTTTTGCGAAAAAAAAATCTTGTTTGTTGAATGAGCTATAACGATATGTATTTAGATACACCCACAACGGACGTTGGCGACATCCAGTATGTCGGCGTTGTCGTCGGCGCGATATGCATAGCACTGTTCACCCTCTTCAGCTGCCTCACTATAATCTCCGCAAGACGAAGTAACCAAAGAGATTCGAGACGTAGGACCGTGGCCTCGGCCAGCTGCCAGGAGGAGGAAGATGTTGGACCAGACGTGGTCGCTGATAATGCTCCACCGTCTTATGATGCAGGTTTGATGATGCCACTTCACTAAATAATTTATTGCATGTCCATTTTCATTTATGTGGAAAATGAAACCTGTTTTTTATTTATTGACGACTAAAACGCACAACCTTAACACTACATTTCACAGTCGGATAAATCAACTGTGCACCCTCATGTGAACAAAATTCTACAAATTGGACCATTCTCCTATTAAACTATATTTAAAATTTGAAATATTCGTCAGTAGAGCTGGAAAGAGCAACCGAAACAGCTACAAAGGGTGTGGGGGTATGCATGTATTACCAGGGGGAATTTCCTATATTCAAGGAAGGTTTAGGGTGAAAAAAGAGGACTTTACTCAAATAGATACTAGCAAACGTATCAATTCTGGCTACCAAATTATACCAGCTCTATCCAGGTGACCAGAAAGTTGGATAAAACTGAGTTACTGCGAAAAGAAGAGTTTTACGATACATTATGTGATGTATAAAAAATATAAAGAGCAATGGTCCCATTTTTTAAGAAAATTCTCCATATAATCCTCCTGGAGGAAGGTTGATTTTTTTTTCGAAATTTTGTTCAAGACACAACGATTCGTTGAACCCTTGAGCTACCATAGCTTTTGTTATTTCAGTCATGGCATGCCCTGACCTGTATCCACCCACGCCCCAAGATACCCCTCACGCTACTCCCGAAACCACGCCACACCTCTCGCTGCATAGACGAGCATTGCTGAACCAACACGTCGGCTCCTTAGCGAGCTCTGCTGGATCGGCCACACCCCAACTTCATCGTCAATCATTTACGCCCACCATAGCTAGTGACGAATGGGACGATATACCGGAGTACCCCCCTCCTCCTTACCCTGGCTTAGCCAACGGGGATATCTCCGCGCCTATCCGCGAAGACGCCATGGATGATGTCACGGTGGTAGAAAGTACCCAGGGTGAAATGCCCGGGGTTGAAAACCCGGGGGCGAGTCAACTCAGCAGTGAAAGCTCTGGAACGTCAAGTCCCAATCAGAACTCGCCGTCACCAGTAAATGAAGACCAAGAGAATCCCTGGGTACTGAACAATATCGGACATGGTAATCTTAGAGAACGACAGAGTAACCCCCCTGATAGGGGTACTACGGAACAATACCCAATGCGGGTAAGGACAGCTTCAGCTGATAGTGGCCACTCAAATCGAGATAGTCCAGAAGAGTCGAGGTCAGATAGTCCTGTCTCTGGCGCGGGATCGGATACTGAACAGGACAGGACACCAAAGACAATAGAGGACACGGCGGGACACGCGGTCAGGGTCGCTGTTACTGTTTAACGCGGTACAGTATTTATTTTTAATCTTCAAGACATATTGATCTCCACTGAAACCTGACGCGGAAAAGACATGGCACAAGTTTTAAACGTGTAGATGGTGTAACACACAGTGGTCCTTGGAACAGCGAAAGGCGTAATCACAAATAGGTTAACTTAAACTACGCGGCTGAAAAATGCCATTATAATATAGAACCTATTTTTTACCATCTCTTTGTTAGGATGGATGCAGGATGTGCAAGCAGGGAACAAAAAAGCTTGTTTAGGTCCAAGTGGCACGCCCAGCGAATAGTTGCGATAAATCGTTAACAATGGTAAAGAAATTTTCCAATCATTTTTATTATAATCTATTCTCCAAAGAGCGCCATTGTTTATGGTCTTTACTTTCAACTTTCCTTTACGACTAACATTGATTCAGAACGTGACGCACACTGACCTCCTAACCATTGAAACACATATGGTTGTTCAGAGACCTTTTGGGGGTTTGCCTGATTTTGTGAATCTTCTCAGTTGGCTCTTTGTGTATTATAAGACCAGGTAGTAAAACAAGTTTAACCTCTCCCTCACCCCTGCTTCTCCAGAAAAAGCTAGTCAAGACAATTACTTCACGAGAACCGGCATAAGTGCTACTCAAAATGATAAAGGAAAGTCTAACTCCATTCAGCCCCAAAATATCTTTTGTGTATAGCTATATAAACAAATTTATACTTCGTTACAATTTTCAGTCTGGGAAATTTCCTTACTATTAACTTCCATTTTGTGTCGGAACCATTTTATTTTTCCTCGTCTGTTCCGCTGAGCGAACTTTTTGCAATATAACCACTTTGTCGCACAAGCTTTTTTTGTCGCTCGTTGGCAAATCGCTACATATCATGTGTTCAGAAACTTACGTATAGTCATTTGAACGTTTGTTTACTCCACGTGGAACCAAACGTATTCCAATTTAATCACCAACGCATCATAGTCCATATTATTGCAAGAGTGTCAAGTATTATCGTATCCAGGTGATCTTAGCCAATAAGCGCTCAGGGGTCGGTTGTATGAAAGCCGGATAGCGCTATCCACCGGATAGTGGTTTTTTCAATCGCTTCAAAATCGCCCGTTATTTGCTACAACTTTGATTTAATCTTAGTGTTCCTAAATCGAAGATCCTCTTTAATAATTGTTGCTTCCAAGCTGAAATTTTATCGCTTCTCGAGCATTTTTAGAACGGTTAAAAAAATCACTATCCGGTGGATAGCGATATCCGGCTTTGATACAACCGGCCCCAGAAGGATTGTAGAAATAGAAATCCATTTTTCAGTATTTAATCGATTATATCTTTACTTTTGTTGTTCTTATGGAACCAGTCGAGCTCTGACATAAATTTTAAACCGAAATGAAGTATATTTCAAGAGTTATTAAGTTGTTTCAACCGAGAAATAGATTTTTATTTCACAACTAGTCCCAGTCTTTTCCCGCCATTGTGAGTCACCTGGATACAACATTTTATTGTAGAAACGGGGAAAGATGGAAATGCGATATTTATAATAAATTTATTGTAAAATTATGCTTAATTTCAATTAGCATGCCCACCAGAATGGTTATTGCTGTAATTAATTTTATATCACCCGAAAATTTGAATTAATGACCAGTAATTAATAACATTCAATGTAATTATAGGTAAAATATACCTTGTACAGTAATAACTCATTTGCGAGTTTTCGTATTTTGGTGTATCTTAGGAAGCAGTGCTGCGTGTAATTCTCCAGATGAATTAGGTAAATCCACGAGAGTAACACAGGCGTGGTCAGTTACAATTGATTTAAAAAACTGTTCTTACGGGCACTGCATGGACAAAACTATTTGATCGTTGAATCAAATTAACAATCGAACTTGTACCAGTCAATACGTTGCCGCTTCTTGAGTGAAATTCACTGAGGCCGCGTTCAGACTGAGGCTGATTATGTGCACACGGTAATGTTTTCACATTTGTTTTCATTTGTTTCAAACACCGTCAATTTACAATAGAAATTGAAGCTAATTTAACGTATTATGCATATGCATAAGAGTAAAATAGACAATGAAAACGCTCAAAAACGACGTTCGTGTGCACATAGACTGAGTGTCCGGCCTGGTGTCCAAGAACAGGTATTACCTCCAGAAGTAATACTGTAATACTCAAAAAAGCACTGCGCTCAGCATGTTTTACGAACTAATTTTGACTTTGGGCATCAACTCAATTTGGACGCAGCCCTGGTGAATTACTACTTTTCAAAAACTCTGGGTCAATTCAATATGAACGATGCCATCCATGACATTGACCCAGTTTACTTCACTAATGGAGCAAGCAAAGGGCCCAGGAAAACTATGCCAATATAAATATCCCAGTAGCCAAAAATCTTGATATCTCATTTGTATTTACTTCCGCGTCATTGGTTTAGCTTTTTATTGAGCATTGGTTTAACCTACCCTCTTGATTAAATTTGTCAAGTTCTTGAGGTTTTTGAATCCCCAAGTCATACCATAGTTAATTTTGTCGTATACATTGCAAACGTTTGAATTGATTCCAACAATTTAAATTTAATACTAGTTGAAATACGTAAAATTTAAACCAAAATTTAAAATTCAAATACTATCTTCTTCTATCCTATTTGCAATATAATACTTTAGTTATTAGTCTATGTCTAGATTATATGAAAATCTAGATTTGAAACCTTTTTTACATTATAATGAAATATCTCAGCTATCTTGAAATAAGTCATCCAGTTGTTTTACTAGTTCATCGGAGCGGCTCTGTTCCGTTGTTCTTGGATGTCTTGTTGTTGTCGTCAACCTGCAATAATGGCGGGTTTCTTTTTAATCTTAAGTTGAGGTTTTTCGACTGTATGGAATATAAAAGACATTTAACGTCTTCAGTGGATTTCCAAGGAAGAGTGTGGATAATTCCCAGAAACTGTGGGACATACGTCCTTATTCATTGGCATTGGCCAGTTAATTCCTGATTGTGAAAACAAGGGGAGATTTTGTTTTAAACTAATCGGCATATTTACACTTACAGTTTTTCAGGCAAAGCCAATCAGAATGCCTAAATTTTTAATACTTCATACAAAAAGGTAAATAATGTATCTTTTTACAGGAAGTAGTCAAAATTTATGCATTCTGATTGGGTTACTGAAAAAGGTAAACAAACTTGCTGATTTGTCTAAAACGAAATTCTCCCTTGTTGATTTTGAATATAATTTTGAACTGTACTTACTTGGATTTTAATTGTAATGATTTTGCCTGCTCTTCGAGTTCTTTTTCAATTTCTTTTTCAGCAGCATCGATCTCTTCCTTGCTCACCTTGATTTTGAAAAAATCACTCTCCGTCAATGTTTAAAAAGTTACTAAACTACACTTACCTGTGTGGTGAAGTCGTTAAATCGTTTCATAGAGAGATTGAATTTAGTTTTGCATATCAAGTACATATCATAATACCGGTGCTTCTTTTGGTTGTTTCAATTCTTTTTTCTGTTTCTCCAGATCCTTCCTAATCTCTTCCTCACCAGCATCAATATCCGCCTTGCTTAACAATCTCTTTTCTTGCTTCTATGTAAAAAAAACAAATTGAAAATGGAAAAATATCGTAAATTACATTAAATATGAAATAAATTGAAAACAAATAGGAAATAGAAAATAAAAGAGAGTTACATTTTTTGAGCACGAGATCACCTTATCCAATAGACCTTTTTCATAATGACGTCAAACGCGGAAAGTCTGATGTTACACGAAGTCTGATTGGCTCGATAGTTATGTGGAGCCAATCAAATTTCGTGTACAATCGGACATTTCACGATTGACGTCATTATAAGGTCTATTATCCAATATATACAATACCTTAGGTTTCTCTTTTTTCTTTTCTTTCGCCTTCTCGTCTTCCTCCTTGTCCAATTCCATCATCTTCTTTTCTTCTTCACGTTGCTGTTTCTCTATATCCTGGCGAAAAGCATAAAAAAAACTTTAAAAACAAACTCTTTAGGAAATTTAAAAGTTAAAAGGAACGTGAAAAACGTACCCTTTGAATTTCCGCTTCAGCTTCTTCGATTTGTCTTTCCATTTCATCCGATATGCCGCTCTTCTTTTCTATTGGTTCATTATCGTCATGTGACAATGAATTCTTCTTTTCTATTGGCTCCTTCGTACTATGTGATTCATCCTGGTGATTTTTTGTTGGCGTTGCTATTGTTTTATGTTCTTCATGCTTCTCAGTGGTCGGAACCTTTTTGGTTGGCTCAGTGTGAGCGGTTGTCGGCGTCTCGGTGTGTTTTCTCGCTGCTTTCTCTTCCTTTTCCTCATCGGCTTGTGTCGTCTTCTCTGTCACGGGATGTTGCTTTTTCTCCTCGTCTAATGACTCCATTAACGCCAGTGAATTCGATAATATTTCTTTTAAATACTTCTTTTGTTTTTTGGATTCATCTGAGCTTTGAAGTAAAAAAATACATACACATTTCTAGTTTATGTATGCCACACTTTTGGGCGAGCAACTGTTCCACGACAACTCTTCCTAAGGGTGGATTTCCACGCAGATAAATAGTTCGCTATCAAAAAAATCTTCTCACAGTTTTTTTTGAATTTTCACAGCGTGAATGAATTTGTTTAACTTGACTGATCTTATTCCAAATATTTCGCTAGGGAAAACCTGCATCCTCTTTGCTCGTTATAATATATAAATTAAATTATTAAATAAATAGAATTAAATTAAATTGGTAAATTTTCGTCTGGCAAGTTCTATCTGTTCTTTTATTTGCAATTATACCTGAAAGGAAATTCTCACAGAAAATTTGGTTTATTTGTGAAATAAAACTCGTCTGTAACCGTCCACATGCAATATTTCTCCTAATTATTTCTCCTTTGTTTATTTGTCATAAACAAAGCATACGTGAATGCATGCATGTTGCATGTCCTAGGACAAAGTTAAATATTTTTAAAAGCCATCAAACCTTTTCTTGGCACCAGATTTTTTATTTTCATCCCACTTTTTCTAAAAGGTGAAATAAATGCATTGAACCTCAAGTGTTTGTAGGTACAGTTGCTTGGGATATATTATGACAAAACTAATTAATTTCTGATAATTTCTTTCATGCTTGTCCCAGCAAATTTGTCTATGATTGTATGTTTTCAAGAAAAAACATTTAATGTAATACAATTATTTTAAGACGTTCATCAACAATGAATTATCGATGTAGGTGGCGATCTTTTGGCGAAAACAATTATTGATCATTATCTTGATGATAATCATGCATGAATAGGTCCAGTATTTTTCTTACCTCAAGATCATTCAATAATGCATATAAGTCGTCATCCTTTTTCTCTTTCTTTTCGATTTCAAACGTTCTGAAGAAGTGAAATTGTTTCTGCTTAAGGTGGCTCCCTACAGTTTTAAGAATATTGAAAACTTGTGGTTTTGATTTAAAATTTTAGCACGAGATTTCTTGGTAAGAAAAGAAATTTCCCAGATATATTAACCAACATTCTAACATTTAGAAATTGCCCATAAGCATGACGTCATCACCGTTGGTATGGTAACAATGGCGATTCAATATGGCCGACATTTTACCTATTCACGCATTTTACTCGAAAACAAGTTCGGTTACCCCAATTTTTTATTTTATAAAAAGTTTTCTTACAAAAAAATGGGAAATTTGAGCAAGTTTAAAAAAATTCTATAGAGCCAAAATTATTAAAAATTAAAAAACGTGATTTTTCGTTATAGAAATTTTTTTGATCTATAGAATTTTTTTAAACTTGCTCAAATTTCCCATTTTTTTGTAAGAAAACTTTTTATAAAATAAGAAATTGGGGTAACCGAACTTGTTTTCGAGTAAAATGCGTGAATAGGTAAAATGTCGGCCATATTGAATCGCCATTGTTACCATAACAACGGTAATGACGTCATGCTTATGGGCAATTTCTGACTGTTAGAATGTTGGTTAATATATCTGGGAAATTTCTTTTCCTTACCAAGAAATCTCGTGCTAAAATTTTAAATCAAAACCACAAGTTTTCAATATTTTAAAAAATTGTAGTGAGCCACCTTAAACTGGTTGTAAAAGCCATACTATTTCGTTGACTAATTCAAGATTTGTTCACAAAATTCACAATACACTTGAAAGACAGTAGATTTATAAACTCTGACTTTTCCCGTCTTCAAATTGTCTGAATCTGTCTGATGTCATAACAAAAAGAGAAAAAATCTAGGAATATCTTGAACAGGTACCTTTTATCGCTTTTATCGCTTTCTTGAGCTTTGCGAAAACCTTCAGGAACATCCTGGCAGATGATAAATTGTTAATGCAAGGCCAATGCGGTTGAAAACATTTTTCTTTACAATAATACTCAAATTCCGTTCTATGAACTATGCAACTCTTCTGAGATTGGTGAACTCTAATTTTTGGTGGAACGCTATAGTTATATTATCTTTTTCGAAATCGCAGGGGAGCGCTCCTAAGATAGGTTTGTATGCTTGTAAGAGCGTTAACATTGCAATTCTATTAGAATGGATAGAAGATGGGGGGGGGGTGATATTTACCATGAACAGAACGAGGATTCGATTCACAATATATAGCATTCACCTTATTGTTTATTAATGCATCCAATGGCTTTTCTTCTGTTGCGATATTAAAAAAGAAGTAGAAATAAGTGAATGATTATTTCCATGGGAGGGGAATACTGGTGATGGTTGAGTCGAAGGGTGGTTGAGTGGGTGAATGGGTGGGTGGTTGAGTGGGAGGTGGTGAATTAGTGAGTGGGTGATTAAGTGATTTGGCGGTTGAGTGCGCTGGTGGTTGAGTAGATAAGTGGGTGGTGATGAAGTGGGTTAGTGGTTGAGTGGGCGGATAGTTGAGTGGGTTTGTGCTTGGTGAACGCTAGCTTACACTTGGTAGCATTGAATATTCATAAATTAACACATGGTATGTCGCCAAACTTACCTGGAATCTTGCTCTTTGCGAAGAACTTGTAGACTCCATCCTGTAGTCTCTCTTCGAGTTGTTTCGTCTTCTCATTGGATAGCTTGTTTCGCGACCCGACGGCGGCAGCCAAGCCTTTGACGAGATATTTCATCTACGATAGAAATGTGGTATATACAAAATGTGTTGGTAACGCTTGGTTTTTATACTCATGATGCTACTAACCTCATCGAGATTCAAATTGTCTTTGGTAACTTTGTCCTCCACCATTTTTTCCAGTCCCAAGATCTTGTCCTTGTCCGACATTGGTTCGCCCGCGTTGTTTTTGTTCGTTGACTTGGAAAAACTCTTGACATCTTGCTGAACATGCTCTATCATAGTTGCAATTATGTCCTCTGTTGTCTGCTTAGAAATCCCAAAGTCTTCAGACAATGCCTCGATGCCACTTCTGATCATATGTTTCTCCTATAAATCGAATAAAAAGATATTCCCTTTGATCAAAAAATCATGACAGTATTAAGGCCATGTTACACGGTGCAATTTTTCTTGCAACTTGTATGCAATTCTACTTCTAAGAGATGTAAATTAGTGAAGAGTCTTGCAGAAGAAAAGTGCATGAAGTGTAATAAACACAAAAATTTCGTTGTTCCCAAATATACATCTCTCAAAAGCAGAATTGCATTGCAAGTTGCAAGAAAAATTGCATCATGTAACAAGGCCCGTTTACACTTGCTGCCATTTCATGTGCGATTATCTTTTTTGATAGATACGAACGAGTGAATTAGTTACGGATGTTCAAATAGGAGCTCTTACACGTTAGAGCATTCATAACTTATTACTCGTTCACATCTATCAAAAGAAGAAAATCGCATATATTTTGAAACTCACTTGTTCTGGGGAAATAAAACCACTTATTAACGGTGCCTCTAGTAGCTCTTCCAAAGCTTGCACGACTTTGCTTTGGTCAACATTTTTGGGTCCAGGATGCAAAGATCTGTCCGCTTGTTGCTCATATTTCACTTCGCGGTTGTTAATAATCTGCAAAGAAGGAGGAAACTCGATAAAGATAAAAGATAGCCCTGGGAAAGTTAAGACGGAGTAATTGAAAACTGAGTAAAGAAGGACGATATTGCTTTTGATTATAACTTGGGGCCGGTTGTTCGAAAGGCGTTTAGCTTAAACGGTGGATAAGTTCAAAATGGAAAACAAAATTATCTATTTATTGAACTACATGAGCTGAAATATTTCGATGCAAATAGTTTATTTCTCAATGATAATACATATTCAATCCATAAGGTGCAGGTATTCACAAGATGTATGAGAGTATTTTTGAAATTTGGCTTATCCACGGTTTAAGCTAAACGCCTTTTGAACAACCGGCCCCTGGAGGATTTTCTTAGAGACAAATGCATAGTTTATATTATAATATATAACTCATTCCTCCACAGTATATGCTTTACTTACCGTAACCACTGCCGCTAAAAGATTTGTTTTAAACTCGTCGACATGCTCTAGACTTGCGTTCATCTTTTTCGCTAGATGTGTGGCCGTTGCATTCACGAGACTCTCAATTTTTGACGGTGGATCGTCTCTTGATAGTTTGCTTGCTACTGTCTTCGCAACACGAAAAATAAATTCCTTGTTTTCATTCTCTTTTTCCTGTATGAAGTTAAACATGCTTTCAAAACAAATATACAGGGTTCTTGTAACTGCTATGCGAAAATATGATTTCAGAAAATGTAATATGCATGGAAACTGTGAAAAGTTAGTTTAATTGTGTTAAGAAAAAGAAGCCATATTGGATTTTGATTGATAACTTTTCATGTTTCCTGTAATATCGTCTACGACTTCAGTGGTGTCCTGATGTTAAATTATGAGCACTATTCATCCACCTCAGAAAGGATTTGCATGGAAACGTCCTAATTGGAACATTTTTCAAACTGAAAATTACCGAACTGCCGGGGTCAGAGTATTCTATGAAACGTGTTCAAGAAAGAACAAATGCCACATAAGGTATATATAAAAAAAAATTAAGCAGTGCTTTTCCACTGATGGTGAGGAATCTCAATCATGCATAATCAGTGTGAAAAAAAGATAATATCTAATAGATCTAATAGCTAATGCATCTTGTATCTTTTGCAAATAAAACAAGTTTGTAAGTTCATAATTTTGCACGCGGTAGCGTTCTAAGTTCTCTATATATGATCGCAATATGCATTTGTGGTGTAGCAATTTGAAAATGTTTATTTTTTAGGCATGTGATCGGATTGTGAGGCCGACATTAAATGTCACCTCTGCAGGTGGGATGAACCCGTGTTGAATTACAAGATTTCTTTCAGGTTTCATCCGAGTGGTAAGAAGTAACAATCACCTTGATACGCTACAGCCTACAGGTGTCTATGATGATTGTCATAAAATATCACTAGTGTGTCTGTTTAACAATCAATTTGTTTTACAAACTTGAGAAAAATGAGAACAGGCAGACAATGTCGCGAGTTCTAAGTGAAAGGTTTTTTATCGAGAGCTCTATTGTACCACCCAAGCACCCATGTAAGGCCCTGTTACATTGCTATAGATTATACTTGTTTTATATAGTCTCCAGGATCAGTTTTATTTAGAATTAATCATATATTTACTACCGCGTAAGTAAGATTAGCAACCACATTACGGAATTTCCAGAAAGAATTCTGATAGAGCTAAATCCCCCTGAATATTATTTGTGATTTGACGCCTACTCCCACAAGCAACGCCTTCCAGAGTTCCGTCCGTGGCGACTAAGAGAATTGCTTTCAAATGTCAGAGGCATCGAATCGATGTTTGTCAGCATTTGTCGCGAACATCTCGCTTCGGTGTAAATTGCATTCATGCTTTTTTTCGCTTTCCTGATACTTGCCATTCATTTACGTTTAAATCGCAAAGATAAGATGAAAGTAAAAGCAAGAGGCTAAGATCTGTAAGTGCTACAAAACAAATATCAATTCAAAATGTTTACAAATGTTATCCTAATTGAATCGCAAGTCACATTGCTGATGAATTCAGATATTGTTGCAAATAGCGACTAATATTTATCAATGACATATACGTATGCAATACCTTATTACCATGTTAAACGAAAGATGTGAAATACTACAATGTTTTATAGCAGAAAGGCCTTAACTTGGCGACTAATAAGTTAAATTACAACCGAACTTTGTCCTGTTGTAGTCTGTACGATGAGCGATTTCAAAACTCAATAAAATACAATACCTACCGTAGCCACGGGCACATCTGGCTTTGTCGTCGGGGCTTCAAAGAAATAAGGGAAATAAATTTGAGTTATTTTGACACAAAAATAACAAAGGCATGAGGCTGAGGAAATCGCGTTTGCATGGTTTTGAATCACTGCATGTCATTCGCGCAATCTATTAAAAAATTCGAGGAATACTCACCCGTAAGCGCTGGCAGCAATATGCTGAATAAAACTAAGATCATTGCTGAGGACAGCATCGTGATTTCGAGAGGGTGTATTGCTTTAAATCGCAGCATATAAATTCGTATGTTTAAACAGTCGAAGGTTTGAATTGTTTTAAACGGTCGAGTGTGTTATACGATACGAAATTTGTGCTATGTCACATGTAACTCTATATGCGGCCCCCATGCATCATGTTCGTCAGTTCCGCAGATTAGCAATCGCGCAGGCGCCTGCATCGTTGCAAACTTCGGGAGTTTATCGGCCGAGATTTTATTATTATAATTAATAATAAAATCTCGGCCGATAAACTCCCGAAGTTTGCAACGATGCAGGCGCCTGCGCGATTGCTAATCTGCGGAACTGAATTTATAAAGGTATTGAGGTTGAAGAGGGTAACAGAAGAACCACAATCAATGGCCGGAGATCCTTCCTTGCCTGAGGAACTGGTGGTCTCGCAAATGGGAGGTGGATGGTAATGGTCTCGCAACTGGCATGTTGATGGTTCCGAAGCCTGCTTGGGAAAAATGTTTTCATCATGAGGGAAAAGAAAGACTCAGATAAGATAGAAAAGCATAGCTGTGAATCACACATTGAAAAAATTAGTTTCCGAGTTTGTTTCAAACCAAGCCCAATCAAAGGCCAAAGGGTCGACTGCAACAATGTTTGGCGCTTTTTCAGAAATCTGGCAACCCTGAATTAGGTACATTTAACAAATTTACGAAATTTTCAAATTAAAAAAAAACAAATATGCTCAAAAACCAAAGAGATTAGTCTCGATCAGTAAATATTTTAAGCAATTTTCAAGACATTTTTGAATTTTTTTTTAAAAATCGTCAATTTTGGCCAAATATCCCTTTATAATTTTGGCCGAAAATGACGAATTTCTCAATGTTCTATAAAAACAAAACAAATATGTTCAAAAACTAAAGTGATTAGTCTTAATGAATATTTAAAGCCATTTTCAGCATGTTAATGCTTTTTAGAAAATTTTAAAAAGTCGTCAAAAAAAAAATTTTGGCCAAAAGGGTAAGGGGTACCCCTTAATTTTGTTTGGGGATGTTTTTTTTTGTTTTTGGAATATTGAATTATTCTTCAATTTTGGCCATAAAAAGGGGACCCCCTTTCAAAATTTCAAAATTTTCAAAATTTTCTAAAACTGTGTTAACATGCTGAAAATGACGTTAACTGTTTCCTGAGGCTAATTCCTTTGGTTTTTAGCACATTTGATTGGTTTTTGGAACATTGAAAAAGCCTTCAATTTTGACCAAGATTGTAAGGCTTTTAAACATATTTTTAGATTATATTTATATAATCCACGGACCACGGTAGTTTCCAGTACTCTTTCTGCAACTACCAGGACCTCAGAAATATTGCTCAACTAAGAAGCAAATATATAAACAAGCAGCATATATTCAGTTTAAATACTGGGTATATAATATAACTGAATGACCGTCATACACCGAGTGTTAATTATGGCAAAAGAGTACTGCAATTTTTTTAGCGCTAAAATAAAAAATACTATTCAACCTATAAATATTATTATTTGTTCAGTATACTACGTGGAATTGTCGGAAAAGTGTGCGAAAAAAGTGGCAAGTTGCGTGGAAGCTAGTGTCGGAAGATGGGCTTAAATGTTCCAAGTATTTCAAGACGAGCCGTGATGGGCACCATTTTGGCCGAAATTATGAAGTTAATGGAAGACAGTGCAGTTTTTAATTTCCGAGCTCTGAATAAATATGCCATTCGAAGTTAACAAGCATTCACTAATCGTGGCTTCATAATGAAAACGAAGATGTTGTGACAAGCGGATGGTACCGTGTAAACGCAGCTTAAGAGAAGAAGAGTTATTTCATATCTGTTGCGTTATGTTGGAGATTTCGAGTACAATTTCGGCGGTGAAATAAGTGGCAAATGTTGAAACATTGTACTGATGAATCTGAATTACCATTTTCCTCAAATTTTAATTTATGACCTGTGAAATCTTACTTAGCTTCAGTAAAAAAAAACAATCGCACCGTAACCATTAGCTTCACCTGGGACAAATGTAACTAGCTTATGGCGAGGTAATGCTGCTCCTTTGCTCAATGGACTCGCGCTCTTGAATTGAACTTCATTTTTCTTAGCGTATTTTATATTCGACGAACCGGCAAGACCAGCTAGAATTTCGATTCTTGATACAACAAAGTCTTGAAACAGATATTCAATTGATAAGATAAAAAGATATTCAATTTTCACGACTATTATCTTTCATTTTAGAGCGGATTTGGTTGGTTTTTGGAACAATGAAAAATTGGTCAAAAATGACTAAAAAGGTAAGGGTTACCCCTTAACATTTTGGTCAATTTTGACGACTTTTTGAATTGTTCAAAAACTCTCTTAAAATGTTAAAAATGGCTTCTTAAGACTATTATCTTTCATTTTAGAGCGGATTTGGTTGGTTTTTGGAACCATGAAAAATTGGTCAAAATTGACTAAAAAGGTAAGCCTTACCCCTTTTGGTCAATTTTGACGACTTTTTGAATTGTTCAAAAACTGTCTTAAAATGCTAAAAATGGCTTCCTTAGACTATTATCTTTCATTTTAGAGCGAATTTATTTGGTTTTTGGAACAATGAAAAATTGGTCAAAATTGACTAAAAAGATAATGCTTACCCCTTAACATTTTGGTCAATTTTGACATCTTTTTGAACTGTTCAAAAACTGTCTTAAAATGGCTTCTTAAGACTATTATCTTTTATTTTAGAGCGGATTTGGTTGGTTTTTGGAACATTGAAAAAATCGTCAAAATTGACTAAAAAGGTAAGGCTTACCCCTTAACAATTTGGTCAATTTTGACCACTTTTCGAACTGTTCAAAAACTGTCTAAAATGCTAAAAATGGCTTCCTCAGACAATTATCTTTCATTTTAGAGCGAATTTGGTTGGTTTATGGAACAATGAAAAATTGGTCAAAATTGACTAAAAAGGTAAGGCTTATCCCTTAACATTTTGGTCAATTTTGACGACTTTTTGAATTGTTCAAAAACTGTCTTAAAATGCTAAAAATGGCTTCCTAAGACTATTATCTTTCATTTTAGAGCGGATTTCGTTGGTTTTTGGAACAAGGAAAAATTAGTCAAAATTGACTAAAAAAGCAAGACTTACCCCTTAACATTTTTGGTCAATTTTGACGACTTTTTGAACTGTTCAAAAACTGTCTTAAAATGGCTTCTTAAGACTATTATCTTTTATTTTAGAGCGGATTTGGTTGGTTTTTGGAACATTGAAAAAATCGTCAAAATTGACTAAAAGGTAACGCTTACCCCTTAACATTTTGGTCATTTTTGACCACTTTTTGAACTGTTCAAAAACTGTCTTAAAATGCTAAAAATGGCTTCTTAAGACTATTATCTTTCATTTTAGAGCGTATTTTGTTGCTTTTTGGAACATTGAAAAAATCGTCAAATTTCACTAAAAAGGTAATGCTCACCCCTTATCATTTTGGTCAATTTTGACGACTTTTTGAACTATTCAAAAACTGTCTGAAAATGTTACAAAAGGCTTCCTAAGACTATTATCTTTCATTTTAGAGCGGATTTAGTTGGTTTTATGAAGAATGAAAAATTGGTCAAAATTGACTAAAAAGGTAAGGCTTACCACTTAACATTTTGGTCAATTTTGAAGACTTTGTGAACTGTTCAAAAACTGTCTTAAAATGGCTTCTTAAGACTATTATCTTTCATTTTAGAGCATATTTTGTTGGTTTTTGGACCAATAAAAAATTAGTCAAAATTGACTAAAAAGGTAAGGCTTATCCCTTAACATTTTGGTCAATTTTAACGACTTTTTGAACTGTTCAATAATTGTCTTAAAATGCTAAAAATGGCTTCCTAAGACTATTATCTTTCATTTTAGAGGGTATTTGGTTGCTTTTTGGAACAATGTAAAATTGGTCAAAATTGACTAAAAAGGTAAGGCTTACCCCTTAACATTTTGGTCAATTTTGACGACTTTTTGAACTGCTCAAAAACTGTCTGAAAATGCTAAAAATGGCTTCCTAAGACTAATATCTTTCATTTTAGATCATATTTGGTTTGTTTTTGGAACATTGAAAAAGTCGTCAAAATTGACAAAATGGTAAGACTTACCATTAAGGGGTACCTTACCATTTTTGTGAAAATTGACCACTTTTCAAAATTTTCTAAAACTGTGTTAACTTGCAAAAAATAGCTTCGTAAGATTAACCTCATTGGGACTTTGAAAAGTCGTCAGTTTTGCCTTCAAGTATTAAAATGCATTATTTTATGGTTAGTATCAACACACTATGCGGTGGCCTAGTGGTTCAGGCTAACGCCTTACCAGGTTGTGAGCGTAGGTTCGAATCCGGCAAGGGAGAATTGCAATTTTTCCCACCTGAATTGCTATTTAATTCAAAGTTCTGCGGATAGGATTAAGTCAAATAAAGAACAAGAGCTTTTGATAAATGATGCTGTGGCCTAGTGGTTAAGGCTGCGGCCTACCAGGTTGTAAGCGTAGGTTCGAATCCTGTATGGGAAAGGTGGGATTTTTCCCTCCGAAATTATTCTTTAATTTAAACTTCATCGAAAAAGATTAGGTCAAATAAAGAACAATAGCTTTCGACAAATGATGCGGTGGTCTAGTGGTTAAGACCTTCGTCTCTCAACCCGAAGACAAATGTTTCAAGCCCTGGCAACAAAAAAAAAATAGCCTAAAAATTTCGGTGTGATCTGGAAGCTTTAAAACAGTTAAAAGACTCCTCGGCCTTTAGTAAAGACTGTAAATTGGCAAAAATTTGAACTAAAAAAAAGTTTAAAAATTTCTCGGGTGCAAAAGTACTTGAAAATCGAAAAAAAGCATAAGAAAAAAAGTTTTAAAAACATGTGTCTTCTAAAAAACCTGAAGAAAGTCAGAAGAAAAATTTAAAAATTTCCCGCTTTTAAAATACTCATGTTTACTTACCATAATTTTTTTTCACGAAAATTTGACAGGGTGATTTTCTCGAGACTGAAAAAATTTAATTTTTTTCACTTTTTTGAAATTCTCTTAGATTTTTTTCTCGACGCGAAAGTATTTTGTCTTGGGCTACCTGTGTCAAGCGAGACACAGGTAGCCCAAGACAGACACAGGTAGC